TACTGCCAATTAACTACTGGGGGAGGGAAAAAAGCAAGAAATGGAGCTGTGGCTCAAGTGGTCGAGCACTAGCCTTGAGAAGAAAAGCTGAGAGAAAGCAGACCCTGAGTTCAAACCCCGGGGGCGGGGGGGGGGGGGGGCTGGAGACATGGCTCAGTTGATGGTAGAGTGCTACCTGATGAGCAAAAGCATCAGGTACCGAGTTCAAGTCCCAGTCTCAGACAAAAAAAAAAAAAGGAAAAAAAAGTTCAGATTCTTTGAAAAGAAGGAAGGCCAAACAGGTAGCTAGTTCCAGGGAGAGATGCAAGGTAATTGTACTCTGGAGAGTTCTGTGCACATCAAGAGGCCAAATACGGAACCCTGGATCAGTTCCATTCGGAGAGGTTGGGGAAGGACAAGCCACCAGTTAGAATAAGCAGGACAAGGAAGAAGGGACATTTTCCAAGAGTGAAAATCTGATCCTGGAGGAGTGCCTAAGCTGGTGGGAAGGAAGGAAGGAAGGAGAAAACGAGGAGAAAGGCTTGGGTGTGATAATGGTGTCTCTAGGGGGAGGGGAGAGGTAAAAAAGGATTGTGGTAACACTCATAAAAGGTGAGGGTAAGTTCAAGACAGGAGGAAGGGAAAGGAAGGGAAGGGAAAGGGAGGGAAGGGAAAGGAAGGGAAGGGAAGGGAAGGGAAGGGAAGGGAAGGGAAGGGAGGGAGGGAGGGAGGGGAGGGGAGGGGAGGGAAGGGAAGGAAGGAAGGAAGGAAGGAAGGAAGGAAGGAAGGAAGGAAGGATGGACAGACCTACAGAGGCTCTGATTGCTCTAGTGTTCATTTGTATTAGGGAAAGACAGCAACCAGCATAAGAGTGTAGCAGAGACAGAGAACACTGCTGTAGTTTCTTCTAACTGGGTGGTTTTAGAGGAAGCCCTGCAGAGAAGCCGAGAGAGGAAGTGGAAAGCAAACCCTGCCCACCTGGTAGTGGCACTGGTACATGGAAAGGAAGAAAGGTCAGGATGGTTTTGTGGTGAGCAGGGCCTGCAGCGCAGGTACAGGGCGTGGGGCCCTGGCTTGGGTAGCCATTGTACAACAAACACCGCATTTCACGACAAGAAACACAACAGGGGAGAGCCGGGTTGTATTGCTGAACACCAATATGTCACTTTATTATTTGGATGATTTCCCCATTTGTCACATACCTGCCAAGGTTTACACAATGAGGGGAACAAAGAAATCAAAGAGAATTGGAAGCAATTGATCAGCTGAGAATTCTGCACCCTCTTTAACCCTTTAACTCTTGACTCAGCAGAGATAACCTTCCATTCATCCTCACGGCTCTTGGTAAAAATCTGTGTTGAGATTGTCACATATCTTTTAAATACACAGAGAATTGCCAGAAGTACATAATTTTTTTAATATATATATACACATATATATATATACACACACCTACAGAAAAATACAAGACTGTTTTTCCCCGCCCCCCCTCCACAATGTTTTAATACACTACTGTTAATTATGCAACTTCTGAGGACAGGTTAAGGGGGGGGGGGTCACAAGGAAGTGTTTGGAGCAAGGAAGTCATTTGGTCCGATATTAACGCAGCGGGTTTCTTGCTCCTTCCCTCTGAACGTGATGACACACGAGGACATACAACACATGCGGCCATCCACTTACCGACAGCTGAGTGAAGACACCACTCAAGAGACAGACACCCGTGGGCTGGAAGGCCCACCCCCAACCACACACCACTAAAAAGGCTCCGCACCATCAACGCCAACACTGCTGATCCTAAAATGAGCACCATATATACATCTGAATATATATATATATAGATAGATAGATATAAAAAAAACAACAGAACCACCATTGAAAACCAGACACAGATGGGTTAGTTAAAAGGTGCAGTTCCAAGGCTCTACGTAATCACAGGAAAAAAGTATGTACACCGCTTGGAAAAGAGCTGCAACAGAGAGTTTTATTGCCAATACCCTCGGTGAAAAACTCCTCTCAGACGTCTCATGGCAGATGCAACGTGACCCACAACCTTTTTTTTAATTTTTAGTTTTTTTTTTTTTTTAAATTTCTGGCCCTTTTGTGAGATTCCCTGGCTCAAGGATTTGCAAGCGAATATGCTCTATGGCTTCACCCACACGTCTATGTCTCCCAGCATCTGATAACACGCATCACAAGGAACTAAGAGCTGTGGCTCCAAACCTGTCTAGCTAGCCAGCCTAGGTCTAGAAAGTGGAAACAAAAAAACCTAAGTATTTCAGGTATTTTACCTTTTTGACTTTAGTACAGTTAGGTATACTGCGAGAGAGTCCTCTAAGTAAAACACAGGGGTGGCGGCCGAGTCCGGGTCCCGTCCGCAGACTCGGGGGTTCGGGCCCCGCGGTGCTCCCGCCTGCTCAGGAGCGCGTGCGCGGGGGCCGCGCGTGCCCCCGAAGCACCCCCCCCGGCCCCCGTGTGGGGAGCCCCCTGCCACCGGTGACTTTCCAGAACGGGCCGTCTAGCTCATCTGCAGGGCACCTCGGCCCACCGGAGGAAAACGCCGGGCGGGATGATTGTCCGCTCCGAAGCAGCGCGGGCTGGGGGGGGCTGGGGTGCGGGGGGGCTGGGGTGCGGGGGGGAGGGGGGCTGGGGTGCGGGGGGAGGGGGGCTGGGGTGCGGGGGGGGAGGGGGGCTGGGGTGCGGGGGGAGGGGGGCTGGGGTGCGGGGGGGCTGGGGTGTGTGGGGGAGGGGGGCTGGGGTGTGTGTGGGGGAGGGGGGCTGGGGTGTGTGTGGGGGAGGGGGGCTGGGGTGTGTGTGGGGGAGGGGGGCTGGGGTGTGTGTGGGGGAGGGGGGCTGGGGTGTGTGGGGGGAGGGGGAATGGGGTGTGTGGGGGGGAGGGGGGCTGGGGTGTGTGGGGGGAGGGGGGCTGGGGTGTGTGGGGGGGAGGGGGGCTGGGGTGCGGGGGGGCTGGGGTGTGGGGGGGAGGGGGGCTGGGGTGTGTGTGGGGGAGGGGGCTGGGGTGTGTGTGGGGGAGGGGGGCTGGGGTGCGGGGGGCTGGGGTGCGGGGGGAGGGGGGCTGGGGTGCGGGGGGGCTGGGGTACGGGGGGGGAGGGGGGCTGGGGTGTGTGTGGGGGAGGGGGGCTGGGGTGTGGGGGGGCAGGGCGGGCTGAGCTCCACACTTCCGCCTTCCTGGGCCGATGCTCCTAGCTAACTGAGCGGGAGGCTTGGAATGGAATGAAGAGGGAAAAATAAACACCTAATTCACCCAACTCTGAAATACAGACCGCGGGGGGGGGGGGGGGGGGGGGGTGCCCGGGCCCGGGGGAGGTGAGGGGAGGGGGGTGTCTGGGCCCGGGGGAGGTGAGGGGAGGGGGGTGTCCGGGCCCGGGGGAGGTGAGGGGAGGGGGGGTGTCCGGGCCCGGGGGAGGGGTGAGGGGAGGGGGGTGTCCGGGCCCGGGGGAGGTGAGGGGAGGGGGGTGTCCGGGCCCGGGGGAGGTGAGGGGAGGGGGGTGTCCGGGCCCGGGGGAGGTGAGGGGAGGGGGGGGGGGTGTCCGGGCCCGGGGGAGGTGAGGAGGGGAGGGGGGGGGGTGTCCGGGGCCCGGGGGAGGTGAGGGGAGGGGGGGGTGTCCGGGGCCCGGGGGAGGTGAGGGGAGGGGGGGTGTCCGGGGCCCGGGGGAGGGGTGAGGGGAGGGGGGGTGTCCGGGCCCGGGGGAGGGGAGGTGAGGGGAGGGGGGTGTCCGGGCCCGGGGGAGGGGTGAGGGGAGGGGGGGTGTCCGGGGCCCGGGGGAGGTGAGGGGAGGGGGGGTGTCCGGGGCCCGGGGGAGGGGTGAGGGGAGGGGGGGTGTCCGGGCCCGGGGGAGGGGTGAGGGGAGGGGGGTGTCCGGGCCCGGGGGAGGTGAGGGGAGGGGGGTGTCCGGGCCCGGGGGAGGTGAGGGGAGGGGGGTGTCCGGGCCCGGGGGAGGTGAGGGGAGGGGGGTGTCCGGGCCCGGGGGAGGTGAGGGGAGGGGGGGGGGTGTCCGGGCCCGGGGGAGGTGAGGAGGGGAGGGGGGGGGTGTCCGGGGCCCGGGGGAGGTGAGGGGAGGGGGGGTGTCCGGGGCCCGGGGGAGGTGAGGGGAGGGGGGGTGTCCGGGGCCCGGGGGAGGGGTGAGGGGAGGGGGGTGTCCGGGCCCGGGGGAGGGGTGAGGGGAGGGGGGTGTCCGGGCCCGGGGGAGGGGTGAGGGGAGGGGGGTGTCCGGGCCCGGGGGAGGGGTGAGGGGAGGGGGGTGTCCGGGCCCGGGGGAGGGGTGAGGGGAGGGGGGTGTCCGGGCCCGGGGGAGGTGAGGGGAGGGGGGGTGTCCGGGCCCGGGGGAGGGGAGGTGAGGGGAGGGGGGGTGTCCGGGCCCGGGGGAGGGGTGAGGGGAGGGGGGTGTCCGGGCCCGGGGGAGGGGGGAGGGGAGGGGGGTGTCCGGGCCCGGGGGAGGGGGGAGGGGAGGGGGGTGTCCGGGCCCGGGGGAGGGGAGGGGAGGGGGCTGTCTGGGCCCGGGGGAGGTGAGGAGGGGAGGGGGGGGTCCCCGGGCCCGGGGGAGGGGTGAGGGGAGGGGGGTGTCCGGGCCCGGGGACCCCCGCGGGCCCACGGGCCGCCGATTGTCTGCTGGAGCCCTCACCGCGCGGAGCTGCCGTGTAAATCTAGCTCTGGTACAAAGACAAGGAAAGCGTTTTCTCTCGTGTTTTTCCCGGTGAAGTTACAGAGGAGCCCGAACCGTTTCCACATCACCTCAGCTCGGGCCGGCGCGGCCCTGGTCGCCCTGCCCCGCGCATGCGCCCGGCGGCGGCACAGCACGCGGCCCAGCCCGGCCCGGCCCGCGCATGCGCCCGGCGGCGGCACAGCACGCGGCCCTGGTGCCCCGGCCCAGCCCGCGCATGCGCCCGGCGGCGGCACAGCAAGCGACCCTGGTGGCCCGGCCCGGCCCGCGCATGCGCCCGGCGGCCGCACAGCACGCGGCCCTGGTGGCCCGGCCCGGCCCGCGCATGCGCCCGGCGGCCGCACAGCACGCGGCCCTGGCGTCGCGTTCTGGCCCGGCCCGCGCTGCGCAGCGGCGGCGTCCGCGTTATTGCTTTGGTCAGTCCAGAGCGCGCGTGCGCATGTGCGTGCAGCGGCGGCCGTCACGCGGGGTTCTCACCAGCAGACAAGGGCCTTTCCCTTTCCCTCTCTCCCCGCTCCGGGCTTAAGTGCAGGACGTCAAGATTGCCAAGTGCTCTGGATACACGTTTTAATTCAATCCCGACCGTCACCCGCCGGGCACCAGGACCGGGACGCGGGAGACTCTTCCGGCCGGGAGGACACGTCTAGCAGCATGCACAAAGACCATGCATTGTCACGCCGTCGGGAGCGCGGCCGACAGAGGAACACACAGCCTAGCCGCGCTCGGGCCGGGCGAGGCTCTGGCGCGAAGCAGCAGGGGCGGGCGGGCGGCCGGGCGGGACGACGTCCAAAGGCGTCCGCGCGCAGGCGCGCGCGCGGCGTCGCGGTCAGATGACGTGGCAGCAGCTGGCCGGGCTGGGCGCGCACAGCAGGCCCTCCTTGGGGCTGCGCTGGATGTTCACGGAGATGGTCTTCTCGCACAGCGGCAGCTGCAGCACGTTGTTCTTCAGGCCGCGGCTCTGCAGGCCGCGCAGGTCGGCCGAGGCCTCGGAGAAGAAGCGCAGGGCGGGGCCGCGGCCGGGGCCGCCCTCGCCGCCGCCGGGCGCCCGGCCCGCGCCGCCCGCGCCCCCCACGCACATCTTCCACGACGACTTCTCCTGCACCTTGACGCTCGACAGCGCCAGGCCGCGGCGCGGGTCCAGCAGGTAGGGCGCGCCGCCGCGCAGCTGCGAGCCCAGGCACAGCCCCACCAGCTTGAGGCTCTCCACCAGCTCGCCGGGCCCGCGGGGCGCGGGGGCCGGGGCCGGGGCCGGGGCCCCCGCGCAGCGCCGCACCGAGCCCGAGCCGCCCGCCGGGCCCGCGCCGCCCGCCGCGGGGCCGCCGCCGCCTCCCCCGCCGCCGCCGCCGCCCGCGCCGTGCTCGCCCCCGGGGCTCGTCTTGTCCGCGCCCGCGCCGCCCGCGCCCGGCTTGCCCTGGCCGCCGCCGCCGCCGCCGCCGTCGCCCTCGCTGCCCGGCGGGCCCTCGCTGCTGTCCCGCCGGTGCCACGAGTAGCCGAAGCCGCCGCCGTCCTTGTCGAGCCGCCGCCGGCTCTCCGAGTCGTCGTCGCTGGTCTCCGAGCTGCTGCAGCTGGAGCCGCGGCCCTGGCTTTTCCGCCGGTGGTAGCGCTTGTGCACCGTGCCCGGCGACGCGATGTTCATCTTGAGGCGGCTCAGCTTGGGCGGCAGGTTCTCGTCCATGTCGAACTCGTCGTCCGACTCGCCCTCCTCGAAGATCTGGTTGAGCACCGGCGCGCTCTTGCGCGACGTCAGGCGGTTGGTGACCGACGGCTTGCGGCGCAGGACCACCTGCGTGGACAGGGACATGGGTTTCTTGTCCTCCTCGTCCTCCTCCTCGTCCTCCTCCACACGGAACAGGCACTTGCGCCCGCCCGCCGCGGGCTGGAGGCCGCCGGGCGGCGCGGCGGCCAGCGCGGGCCCCGCCAGCTCGGGCAGCTCGTCCTTCTTGGCCGCGTCGCACAGGCCCTTGCCGCGGTGCCCGTTGAGCACGCCGTCCCCGGCCCGCGCGGGGCGCGGGCGGCACCGTCGCGTGGGACAGCGGTGTGGCCGTCAGGTCGTCCTCCAGGTCCTGGGGCACGTCGATTTTGGTGGGCCACGACTGCCTGTGGAACGACAGATGGGGGGAACACGTGGTCATGCACCAGGTCATGCACCCTCGCACACCACAGGGGAATGTGGACATGCGCACACCACCACCCTTGCACACTCCCGGCATTCAGCCACAACGTCCCCACGCACATCCTTCCCGTGGCTCTGCCGGCACGGGCGTGAAAATAATTCACCTGCGCTGCCAGCACAGGTTTGTCTCCACCATGGTGCAAAACACTTGGCCGTGCATTGAAATAAATGGAAACAGAATGGACTTAGAAAAACCAGGGCTGTGGCACGTGTGAAGAGGAGCGTGGAAGCTAGTGGACACTGCAATGTCCACATGAGATTACAGGCAGAAGCATTGATGGTATCTCGACTCGGAGGCCGCGCAGGGCTCAGGGCACTCTGGCTGGTTTTGGTATAAATGTCTTGTAATCTCCACAGCCCCCTCCTGTCCCTGGGAACGGGAGCACAGGAGGCTACGCTGGTGCCACAGACATTTAAAACTGCCACTTTCACACCGTGACATTTCCATTTCCCACTGATTGTGTTACTCTTAAAATACAGCCCAATTCAATCTATAGCCCTGAACACACCATAGCTTTTCCATCATAGCCGTCTCTCTCCCCGCAGCTTGGAAGCAGGAGACAGAGAGCATGTGCAGGTGCTTCTCCTTTCCCTCCATCCCCAACTTCAAGCCAAAATCCATGTCCAGACACAAGGCTGGCCATGGCATCGCGGGCACTTTCCCATTGGGTGTGACGAATCAAACCGGAACAGCTCGCCTTACCCAGCTTGCAGGGCAGCACCCCGCAGAATGAGACCACGTGGGTCATCTTCACAGAAAACATGGTGGGTGAGAAAACCATGACTTAAAGAATAGCCGGCTAACAAAAAAATGACAAATCGGATGTAACGCTAGCTCACCGTGACAACCCGCTCCTTGTGTCAGCTGCACCTGCGGGAGCCGCTCCTGAAGTCCTGGGACCTACAACTCCTCCATGGAGCAATGCTTACTATCTCCCTTTTCAGATAAAGCAATCCACACACATACACTCTCTCTCTCTCTCTCTCTCTCTCATACTCACCCAGTCTTGAAGCTGGTGCGTGGACAGCTTTCCCCAGGCACCTAGGAACCTGGTGGAACTAGGTAAGCACTCCTAAGGAAGGAGGCAAGCACCAAGCTTGGGGCTCAGTACTTTACAGGACTAGATGCAACCCAGCCCACAAGGGAAGTAAGCCCCATCGCCTCACCTCTCAGAGGCAGCGAGTGAGTGGGAGAGGCGAGGGGTCCCCTCGAGGCCCAGAAGCTCATAAATCCACTACTGTCCTTTTTATTTAAAAAAAAAAAAATTAAAAGAATGGACAGAAAATTCAACCTTTTTCCTGGAATGAAATCTAAGAAAATAACGCCCGGGATAGACACGTTAAGACTCCGAAGAATGCTGGGAAGGTGGCTCAGTGGTAGAGCGCTTGCCTTGCATGCCTGAGGCCCTGGGTTCGATTCCTCAGCACCACATAAGCAAAAAGAAAAAAGCCGGAAGTGGCGCTGTGGCTCAAGTGGTAGAGCGCTGGCCTTGAGCTGAAGAGCTGAGGGACAGCGCCCAGGCCCAGAGTTCAAGCCCCACGACTGACAAAAAAAAAAAAAGACTCCAAAGAGTTACATGAGAACAAGTGGCAGCCGCGCAGGCGGGGACACGGTCTTCTCCACACGTGTCCTCCTGGCCTGCCTGCTCCACGGAGCCCAATGACCCAGGGACGCAGGACGCGACGCACTTGTGCATAACCACGGGGCCGGACGTGAGTCACCTCTCGCTCTGGGGTTGAGAAGAGTGAGGGAAAGTTCACTCTTTCAACAGCGGGACTTACTAAAAACTGGCGAGGTATTTTTCTCACCTAAACTGGGCCTTGATGTTGCTCGGGCTGGCAGATCGGGTCTGTATCTCTTTCTCTTGCTTCTCCCTCAGGATCCTTTCGGCAAGCAGGAAGTAAGTGGCGGTGATGTGGTTATACCTGTTGGTCTCCAGGGCTCTGCGGAAAACAAGGTGGGAGCAAATCTGAGCCACACAGAGCAGTGGGGGTTTGTTTTGTGTTTCCATTTAACACACACACACACACACACACAAAAGTCTAAGCAAATGGAATTCAGTACCTGGAAACTTCAAACATGCCAACAAAGAGAGGAAAAAAAAAATCTTGTACTTAAGTCACTCTTAAAATTCTAAAACTGAATGAAAATGCTCATTTGCCCCCCCCCACACCCCCCCGCAAATGCTGACAGCAGCTGAGCTAGCCATCAGCTTTGGGTGCACTGGAAATGAACTTCATGCGCATGTAGAGTGCTGTCAGTTATGTGTAAAACCGGCTTAACGGGAAGCGAGGAGGCTCTGTTACAGGAGCGTACTGAAGAGGTGGCAGCAAGGCAGACATGGCATGCTCAGACTCTCATCACGTCCAAGCCTTGATGAGGCGCTAGGCCGTTACTCGTGCAACCGAGAGCCCATCACCCACCATCAGCCCCTGCCTTGAATTAAGTCTCCGTCTTTGCTTCAGCAGCAGCAGAGATCCCCTCTTTCAGATGTACAGAAGGGACAGCGAGGACGAGGGGAAATTCATGTGTGGTGAGCCCCTGTAGGGCAGCTGCCCTTCCAAGGGACCCGAGACCCCCACTGCGTGAGCCAGAGCACCCTTCTCTTCCCTCCTTCAGGCCTCCCTCCCCCATCAGACCAGATCGTCTCCCTCACAAAAACCTCTTTCCTTGTCCCCCATAACTTGTCCTCTTTCCTTCACCCAACTTCGTCACTCAACACATTAATTCACCTTAGCTTTTCCTTTAAGGAAATACTTAGTAGTTTTAGTCTCGACCCTGTAACACTGTAAGCCATGCACGATAGCTTACATCTATAATCACAGCTTCTCAGGAGGTAAAGATCGGGAGAATCATGGTTTGAAGCTGTCTGAACCCACGTCCAAAAACAACAAAAAAGCCAGGCATAGCGCACACCTGTCCTGCTAGCTATGCAGGTACAAGGACGACAGTGACTGTGGTGTGGGCCAACCTATCAAAACCACAAACCTCTATCTCTGAAACAACTAAAAAGGGCTTGGCGACCTGACTCAAGTGGTAGAGCACCTATCCGGCAAATGTAAGGCTCCAAGTTCAGACCCTAATACCACCACCAAGAAAAAAATTATATCAACTTCACTGACTTCAAACCATCTTCCTGAGAATGACTACATTACAACCGGATAACTTTCATAGCCCTGTGGGTGGTATGGTCACGCTGGCGGCCATTCAGCACTGATGATACAAACAGGAACTGTACCGTGGCGGGCCAGTGAAACTGCACACAGAAAACCACGTGTGCACCCGCCCTCGGCTAGCCTGACTTGAGAGGCCTCTGGTCCTTGGTCCTGCCTGACCTCCCCACGCAGAGCTGCACACAGACCGGAGAGCCAAGGCCACAGCATGAGCCCCACCCAGCAGCAGCTGACTCGTTCATCAGGACCAAACTAACTCCATGCTGGGCACTCGACTGGGGAGCGCTTGTGGTAAAAGATGTGCTGGGGACTCTACCCATCACAGATTCCCTACGTACTCCACAATGGCATCGCGGTCGGCGATATCCCCCAGCACCATGCGCTGAATGATGCTGTTGTGCTCCTCCTCCGACAGATTCTTGTAGGATACCAGCGGGATGTTGTACTTGGTGGCGGGCGAAGGGTCGACGCCCTGGAGCCAGGGGTGGTTTTCGATCTCCTCCAGGGAGGCCCTCCGCTTGGGATCTCTCTGCAGCATCCGGGTGATCAGGCTGCAAAGGAAGACACACCCACCCATGAAGCAAGGACTCATAACAGTGAATCCTTTCGCTTGCTAAATTGGTTCCATTAATTGAAGTTGGGTTACCAGCGGCAGGGAACATGATGCAGGGGGGGGCCACCAGGCAGATCCTGGGAAGGGGGCCCTTACAGGGTGATGACCCCAGCCCAGCGTGAGGGCGAGAGAGAGACTAGAAGGGAATTATTGCTCAGAGGAGGCCGGGGTGAAACTGGCCCTTGGGCTGCAGAGAGGCCGGGGGAGCTCCTCCCCAGGACTTGTGCTTCGAAATAACGCGACTGGGTGGTGGACACAGAGAAGTTAAAGTGGCTCTGGCTGGAAGTACCCCTGGGGGCCGGGGAGAGAAGTAAATACACGAATCTTTTCCTGAAGACAAAAACCAGGCCCCAAAAATCTCCCTGAGTAGGATGACAAACAGGATCACAAATCAAAGAAAACAAAACACATATCCACTAAGGGAACAGGGACACCAATAGGAAGCCTTACAAAACATACAGTCCAATCAGAATGCAAACAGGCCAAAAGCAGAAATTTTCACATACACACACACACACACACAAAACCAAATGTTTAAAGGCTTGAAAACAGAACCAGAAACAAAATTATACTACATGTTCTTGAAAAAAAAATTAAATGTGGCTTCTAAAAGTGACAACTGATCATTTACAACTAAAAGAAAAAAAAAGCCAAAGGAAAATGTTTTAATTTTTTTTCTATTTGGCATAGACAACTAGTGAATTGAAAGGAAGCAACTTTCTATCTAGAAAATAACCTTCCAATTCAAAATAGAAAGTCTAAGAGATGCTGGGCTGGGAAGGTGGCTCAGTGGTAGAGCGCCTTGCATGCATGAGGCCCTGGGTTCCATTCCTCAGCACCACATAAGTAGACAAGGCTGGATGTGGCGCTGTGGCTCAAGCGGTCGAGCACTAGCCTTGAGCTGAAGAGCTGAGGGACAGTGCTCAGGCCCAGAGTTCAGGCCCCACAACCAACAACAACAACAACGACAACAACAAAGAAATTCTGAAGGATAGGATTAGGATATGATTTTGGCCGAAGAATGTGATTCCATCCCAGAGGGAATAAAGCGAGATTTTGTTAAATAGCTGGGCAATTATAAACCATTTGTAACAATAGATTATCTAGCTTATGGAACGAGGATAATTACTAAAATATTAGATGGTAATCAAAATGTTCCAAGGAGCTGTTTCACAAGACGACAAAGGTAAGGACCAACTATAGCTCTCACACCAAGTATACAAACACATAAGGTATTTTTTTTTTTTTTGGTTTGGTCGTGGGGCCTGAACTCTGGGCCTGGGCGCTGTCCCTCAGCTCTTCAGCTCAAGGCTAGCGCTCTACCACTTGAGCAACAGCACCACTTCCGGCTTTTTTTTCCTGCTTATGTGGTGCTGAGGAATTGAACCCAGGGCCTCATGCATGCAAGGCAAGCACTCTACCACTGAGCCACCTTCCCAGCCCCATATAAGGTATTTTTAAGTAGGAAGGAAAATCGCTACAATAATAGATGGTAACTTTCCAGATAGTTGAGAAGAAAAAGTCAAAGGTGAGTAAAAAGAAAGCTCAACAATCTCAAAGAAAGGTGATGGGATGAAACTCAAAGAACGGGACAAACATGGTAACCCACAAGTCTGTATTTTCAGACTACACACGAAAACAGGTAACAAACAACAACAACAAACTAACTAGAAAAATGCTATGTATGCGGAAATTAAAAACAGCCCTATTAGCCGGGCAATGGTGGCTCACACCTGTCATCCTAGCTACTCAGGAGGCTGAGATCTGAGGATCGCGGTTCAAAGCCAGCCCAGGCAGGAAAGACCGTGAGACTCCTATCTCCAATAAACCACCAGAAAACTGGAAGTGACGCTGTGGCTCAAGTGGTAGAGCGCTTGCCTTGAGCTGAAGAGCTGAGGGACAGCGCCCAGGCCCAGAGTTCAAGCCCCATGACCGACAAAAAACAAAAACAAAACGGGCTGGGAAGGTGGCTCAGTGGTAGAGCGCTTGCCTTGCATGCATGAGGCCCTGGGTTCAATTCCCCAGCACCACATAAGCAAAAAGAAAAAAGCCGGAAGTGGTGCTGTGGCTCAAATGGTAGAGCGCTCGCCTTGAGCTGAAGAGCTGAGGGACAGCGCCCAGGCCCAGAGTTCAGGCCCCACGACCGGACCCAACCCCCCCCCCCAAAAAAAAACAGCCCTCTTAACAAGTGTATCAAATCAATGGAAAGCAGAAAATATTTACAGCTGAATACCAAGTAGGCTATAAATAAGAAAACAGTGGGATGAAGGAATATAGCCTTAAATAGTCTAATAAATAAAATTTTGTAGCCTGAGTAACCAAGATAAGAAAAAGAAAAGATTTAAGTCTGTGGGAGTAGGTGGGAGGAAACAGTGAACAGTAAAGAAGACAGACAAGCCGGGCGCCGGTGGCTCACACGTGTCATCCTAACTACGCGGGAGGCTGAGATCTGAGGATCATGGGTCAAAGCCAGCCTGAGCAGAAAAGTCCCTGAGACTCTCATCTCTAGTAAACTACTCAGAAAAAGCCAAACGTGGTGCCATGGCTCAAGAGCTATAGCACTAGCTTTGAGCAAAAAGCAGCTCAGGGGCAGTGCCCAGGCCCTGAGTTCAAGCCCCAGGACTGCATCCCATCCCTCACAAAAAAGCCAAAAAGTGAATCAGTGAATAGAAAGTAAAAGGTAGTTCTTTGAAAAGGCCTTCTAAAGCCAAGAAGGCCTTGCGGCATCACACCAACGGGCACTGTCCCCACAGATCCTATCCTGCAGAGCTTAAAATATGATAAATTAATCCCTCTGATTTTTTCAGTAGGGGCAGAGGAGGTAATCCTTGAATTAGAAAGATCTAATGTATACGCAAGGCAGTCCAGACAGCTTCCTAGGACCAGGAGCAGAAAACGCCTCCAGTTTCATCAATATTCACCGAGAACTTCCTATTTGCTGTAGAACGGGCTACAAGTGTAACCTTTGCGAATTCACCCCGTGTCTGTGATGAAAGGCAGGTACTCAGCGAGCCTCCATGACGGCTCACTGCAGAAGCCAGGGTCTGGATCCGGGGAGCTCATCACCTAGCTTCTTTACCAGTCACCTAAGTTGGGGCTCCATTATAAGTAAAAAGTCCTCCTTTACCAGCTGATAGGACAAACTTAAAACTTCAGGGGGAAAAAAAATACAGAAAAATCCTTTAGTGTTACGTATACCAAACAGCTCTTTTTACCGACGGGGGGAGGAACGGGTGAATAAAATTACAGGACACGTTCTGTACACGCTAAAATGGTGTGCAGGTGGCCCCAGTCAGGAAGGAAGAAGCCCTGGCCATTCTCTGCTGCCCACCAGCGCAGGGCATGGCCCCTTCCGCGAGCACCTCTGGAGGCAGGAGAGGCGGGCGAAGGAGGTCTTCAAACAGTTCTGTAAGTAATCAGTGAGGGGGCTGGGAAGGTGGCTCAGTGGTAGAGCGCTTGCCTTGCATGCCTGAGTCCCTGGGTTCGATTCCTCAGCACCACATAAGCAAAAAGAGAAAAGCCGGAAGTGGCGCTGTGGCTCAAGTGGTAGAGCGCTCACCTTGAGCTGAAGAGCTGAGGGACAGCGCCCAGGCCCAGAGTTCAGGCCCACGACCGGACCACCCCCACCCCCCCCCCAAAAAAAAAAGTAATCAGTGAGAATACGATTTTGGACTCTACTACTGAGTTTCACATCAGATTCTAGAGATATTCCCCTTCCCCATTCTAAACACTCTGGCACCGATAGAAATATTAAACTCAAACTCTAAAATGCATGCAACTCCAGACATGAAGCGTTCCTAGTATGTTCCCGGAGTTGACAACTTCTGGACTTCCGATAACGAGTGAATCGCCAAAGGCCACTTTTACTTACTCTTTACATTCTTTGGACACGTGGGAGGGCACCGTGTATTTGCAGTCCATGATCATGGTCAGCGTTTCACTGTCGTTGGCTTCTTGGAAGGGCGGCTGGCCACACACCAGCATGAAGAGGATCACTCCCAGACTCCAGATATCTGCAGAGCAGACACACATCGGACCAGTTAGGGAACCGAGGTCAGAGAAAAGACAAAACACACAACAACAACAACAACAGAAAACTAGTTCATGTTGGTCACAACTTTCTCAGTCGTTCTTAACCCCAGTCCTCGCAAGGTAATAAACGAGGCTCCGTAGCTCACGAGGTCACCTAGAAAATTAAAGCTCAAAGCTGAGCAAACCATGGCTGAACACGAGGGGAAAGACTGGGCATGTATGATTTTTGGATGGCAGAATTAGAGTCCAGGTGTCTAAACAATCAGGATTCCAGCCTCTACACTGGTCTTGGAATTCAGGTCCTATACCCTCAAAATTCTCCCAAGTACTTCATTTTATTATATGTTCTTCATTTTACAAGGTATGCTCTAGAAATTAAGTGTAAAGTATCACATTTTTATAATACAGACTCGGCCATCTCCCTTCCCCCCAAAAGGGAGACTTCAATGATTTACAAAATAACAAGTACATGCACATTAACATCTAAGGCAATTAGAAGAGAAACTCTTCTTCCTTCTGCTGTTCAAATGCTGACATTTAATGCTACCACTGTAGTTTGTAGCCGCAGATATTTGTGCATCTGATGTACAATAAATCCATCTCATTCCATATAAATCCTTCAAAACAACAGCTTTTACAAAATGCAATTAGTTCTATTATTTCCCCTAGCATCTCACACGAGGGCTGTGAATAAACTCTTTTTTTCTCGCTCTCTCTCTGTGCTAAACTGGAGCGGCTGACATCTGATGGCGTAATTATAAAAGCCGACGTTCTAAAAATGTTGTAAGTAATATAAATATCAAGTAGCGATTACCCAAAATTATTTGGTTGAAGAACACTTTCTTTTCCCGTTCAACATTAACCTGCCAAGCGACAAGGAGTCCCATCGGTTGGCGCTGTTCTCTGGAAGGATCTATGTGCTCGAGAGCAAACCAGCATGTGGTGCCCGGATGGAGGGAGACCTGATTCCCAGAGCAAGAACAGCCACCTTGGTTCCGGCTCCCACAAAATCCTCAATGTGCTTCAAAGTTGAAACACTTAAATATAAAATTCCACACTATGGCCGGGCGCTTGTGGCTCACACCTGTCATCCAAGCTACTCAGGAGGTTGAGATCTGAGGATCATGGTTCGAAGCCAACCTGGGCAGGAAAGTCCGTGAGACTCTTATCTCTAACGAACCACCAGAAAACCGGAAGCGGTGCTGTGGCTCAAGTGATACAGCACTCACCTTGCGCTCAGGGACAGCGCCCAGGCTGTGAGTTCAAGCCCCAGGACTGACCAACAAAAGCAAAGAGGGAAAGACTAAGAATCCTCAGAGCAAGGCGACTGGGTGGAGGCGACAATTCATTCAGTGGCGACAAGCTGAGCTCTGCTTGGGTCAGCTGTGTTAAGGTTAGCTGTGCAAACTGGTTTTGTGCAAATGAAAGAAAGTAGGAAAAAGTTCAAGGAGTCAAAGGGTTATCGGCCACACGCCCAGGACCGCCCATGTCCACGCACACCCAAGCCAGACACACGGCAGACTGCCTCCGGACGGGGTTTCCCTTCATAAATCATCTCACAGACAAAGAGGAAAAGCAAGCCCGGCGAAGCCATCATCATGGAGCAATTTCCTTCCCCGGGGCCTCATGGGAAGAGCTTGCGTGCCTGACTTAGAGCTTCAGAGAGCTCTGGGTTCAAATCCTGTCATGGCAGCTTAGCTGTGAAAACTTGGCCAGGTCACCCAGTTTGTTCTCATTTCTGTTCTCTCTTCCACCCAAGGTCAAAGCATCACGGTCCCAGTGGCTCAGGCCCGGTATTCTCGCTACCGAGGTGGCTGAGATCCGAGGACGGCAGTTCGTAGCCAGCCTGGGCAGGAAGCGCTCATCTCCAATTAACCATCAAAAAGCTGGAAGTGCAGGTGTGGCTCAGGAGACAGAGTACTGGCCTTGAGCAAAAAAGCTCAGAAACAGCACCCAAGCCCTGAGTTCAAGCCCCAGAACCAGCCAAGCGTGTGCGCACGCATGCACACACGTGCACATTAACAGTACCACTCATCTGGTCATTTCTAGGACAGTGTCTGTGCAAAGAATGTTACCTCTATAACTGGCAGAGCCTTAACAACTGGTAAGGACTGCTTGAAGGCCCACACCTAAGAGGCTCCCAGTAGGAAGAGACTCAAGAGAGAGACTCACAGGGGCGGGCTTTATGCTTTTACTCAAGGTACTTGTGTCATTTCAATGACAAGAACACCCACTAATTTACCAATAGAAAGTACTGGAGCTGGGTGCCAGTGGCTCACACCTGTCACCCTAGCTACTCAGGAGGCTGAGATCTGAGGACAGCAGTTCAAAGCCACCGGGGCAGGAAAGTCCGTGAGACTCTTTCTTATCTCCAATGAACCACCAAAAAACTGGAAGTGGCGCTGTGGCTCAAGTGGTAGAGTGCTCACCTTGAGCTGAAGAGCTGAGGGACAGTGAATAGGCCCAGATTTCAAGCCCCACAACCGACCAAAAAAAAAAAAAAAAAATGAAATGTACTCATTACCTTACTTATGTAACTGTAAACCCCTGTTCATCACTTTTACAGTACATTAAAAAATAGATAAATACATCATTGAAGAAAAAAATGCAAAATCTAAAAACGAAAACGAGACAAAAAACCTTGGGACAGCACCTAGGCCCTGAGTTCAAGTCCCACGACCACCCAAAAAATAAGTAAATGAAAATACAACATATACAATTGATCTTCCTGCATCTAAAATTACGTCTTAAATATTTTTAAAATATACTACGTCATCAACCTGCTTGTTTCCGTGAAGGGTATCACTTTTAGACGGTCCCTCCATATTAGCACTTCAGCTGGAAAATTCAAAAATACCAAATAATGTTTTTCAAGGTTCCTAAATTACTTTTCAGATTGTCAAAGTACTGCATGTACGCATGCTTGTTGGAGGGCCTCACACGTGACAGTATCACACATAATCTCACTATAAGCCTACTAGATGAAGACAGAAGGCTTCACTGCAGTTTACAGTGCCTTGCGCATGCGTGGGTGCAGTTGTTTGTCATTGCCCTAGCAAGAATTAAGAGTATTAGGCACCTGTAATGTGTGTGTGTGTGTATGTGTGCACCCAGCCTGGTAATGGGACAAGGTCTCCCCAGAAACCAATAGCCATCATTTAGTCCTACCGGGACCATAAGAGCGAGCGCAACATTGTGACCAAACACAGACGCTCGTGTGTGGATACACTTTTTACACACACAACATCATCCAAACATGATCAACCCAACCAGTGGAGCTCAGGCTGTGCAGCTGCATACATCATGAATGGGAATCCCACTTACTGTGTTAAAGGGTTGGGGCTAACCACTAGTTTTTGTTTTGCTTAGGAGTTTTTCTTCTTGAAAAGGCTTTAAAAAGCCAGGTAGAGTGGTACACACTAACAGTAATAATCTTCCCAGCCACTAGAGGGTGCAGTAGAGGCGGGAAGATCAAGCCTTCAAATACAAACCAGAAACGTATGGGCTGGGGGCATAGAGCTAGTGGTAGGGCACACGCTCAAGGGCATAGGTTCAATCCCCAGTGACACACACACACACACACACACACACACACAGACTATAATCCCAGCAACTTGGGATCGACTGAGGCCAAAGAATGGTAAGCTGGCAAGTTCTAGGTCAGCGGAGGCTACAGAGCGAGTTCTGGGCCAGCGACATAGCAAGACCTCACCTCAGCAACAAAAACACGCCGTTTTAAAGCGCGACTGTCTTCTAAACGCTTCTGATGCTCTGACCTAAAATGAACATGAGCAGATTCCATTTCTGTATGTGTTCTGGCATCCAAATAGCTGCTGTTCTCTGGGATCTGCAAAGCTCTTCTGAAGTTTCAAGAGACTAACCACGTAGCAAAAAAAAAAAAAAAACCCAAAAAACAAAACACCTTTTTTTTTTTTAAAGCTAACTTAAAAGGAAGATCTCTAGTTTAGAAATTAAACTGATTCCTAACTATAGATAGACAGCCTCAGCTTCTAAAGGCTAAATACAAGTGAACACACACGCGTGGGCAGAAGAGGGGAAGGCCCCACGGGCGCTGGGGATGCAGCCAGGAGGTGGTACTGCAGCCACGGCCAGGGGGAAGGGGGGGGCAGGGATGTGGGGAACTGGTGCACCACTCACGCCCGTCATCCCAGCTCCTCAGCAGGCTGAGATCCGAGGATCACAGTTCGAACTCAGCCTAGGCGGGAAAGTCCACGAGACACTAATCTCCAAATGGAACACAAAAAAGCAAGATGTGGAGCCGTGGCTCAGGTGGTAAGGCACTAGCCTCAAGCCAAAAACAAAACAAACAAACAAAAAGTAAACAAACTCAGGGACAGAGCCCAGGCCCTGAGTTCAAGCCCTCAGCTTTACAAGGAAGGGATGATTATTCCTGTTCTTAGGGAACAGGTTACCTAAAACTGCGGCCTCAGTCCGTGGAAACGAAAGACGTTCCTTGTTCCCAGTTTATCTGTCTTCCAAGCAATGGGAGAGATTTTCTTTTTCCGCTATGAAAGAACTGCAGGTTTACCAGAGCTGCCAGACAGCTAGAACGGGTACCAGATGCCGTCGGGACAGTCCCAGTGTCTTCGGATCGCCCACTGCATGGGCGCCCGTGCGCGTGCACGGTCCTCGTGTCACGTTGCCACACGCAGGCTTGCGTGACTACAGCGTTGAGAAGTGGTCCATCCACACGCGGCCCTGCACAGCCTTAGTCACAACGTCCCTCAACCCTGCTCATCTCTTTTCTACATTCTGTAATTTCAAAATCATACTTTCCCTTAAAATCCATTTAAGACGGATTAGAACTTTGTAGTAAAAAAAAAAAAAAAAAAAAAAAGCAAAGTATCAGCTACCCACCTGCTGATGAACATGTGCTTCCGGTTTATGGTTTTAAAACTAAAGCTGCTATGAACACCTATATTCGGGTCTTTTTTTTTTTTTAATGTGAACACATCTATTCATTTTTCTGCAATCAACAGCCAGGAGTACAACTGCAGGATTGTATTTTCTAAAACACTAATATAACCTGGAGTGGTTGTATTGGTGATTGCTCTGTATTCCTTGCTGGGATCCCCCAACCCCAACCGCGCCCCCCCCCCCCCCCCCCCGCCCCAACCAGACTATAGATGATTTGCCACCAGGCAAACAGAACAATGAAACTCACCCATACTGCTTGCAGAGAGATAGAAGAGGTGAGGCTAGAATATACTGTAAACTCACGTGGAGATGATGTAAAAATCAAATTCCCCCATGTGACTACAATAAGCCAATTAAAAAATAAAGCAGTTGAGCAGCAAGCTGCTATGGATAAAAAAATAATATATGTATATATACTTATATAAAAAATATACAACTATGTTTTTATGCTTCAACTATTCTCCATTCCCCGCAAACTTGAGAATAATTCTGTGTGCAAACCACCAGCCAGGGCTTTTGGGGAGGAACGTGTCATCACCCATGGCAGGATTAACATCTGTACCACAGTGTCTCCTAAATAATAGAACGGGATCTATCTCCGTGGAGTTGGGTCTCTGATTTCTTCATCATTTTCAGAACAAATTTTTCCTGTCAAATGTGTTCTGACAAAATTCATTTCCAGGTATTTCAATCTGACGACTGTCAACTATACCGGTTTTTTAGATTTTGGTCTCTGCAGGTTTTCCACTATATTACAGAAATGCAATTGTCTTTCCTATCATTTTCAGTCCTTTAAATCCTTGCTTAACTCATTTATTAATAATTCTACGAGAGGGGTCTGGGAAGGTGGCTCAGTGGTAGAGTGCTTGCCTCGCATGCATGAAGCCCTGGGTTCGATTCCTCAGCACCACGTAAGTAGAAAAAAGCCAGAAGTGGCTCCGTGGTTCAAGTGGTAGGGTGCTAGCCTTGAGCTGAAGAGCTGAGGGACAGTGTCCAGGCCCAGAGTTCAGGCCAGGACAGACAGAAAAAAAAAAAAAAAAGAGTAAGCTCTTTCCTAATGTTGCCAGGAGGGGAAGATAAAATTCGCCCAAATGACATTACCCAGGATTTCTAATTCTAGCACGCACGGGGACCTGAACATACTGCCCAGTGCTGTAAGAAAATAGAACGATAACTGTCTGTCCATTTGGGGTTTTTAAAAAGTAATTCTAAATTTGATCACATATTATACAAAATGATTTGAAATAAAAACAAAATGAAAAGGCCACCTATGAACTCCATCCAATCCTATATCACAGCAACGTAACATCTTCCCAATGTTCTCTGCCATCTGATAACCGTTCAAATTGTATTAATGAATAAACAGTTAAGGGGGGAAAAAAACATCACGATGAACATCTGTATATGCACACCTGTATAGGATGTATGGACACTCAAATCCCAACGTATCACCAGGTAAAGTTGAAACTCTACAGATATGCCTGCTCTAGTTTTAGTGCTTTCTTTAGTTTACTACGTGCACAAAATTTCCTAAAGGCATAGGTTTGATCCACTTCAAACTCTTACATAAATGTTCTATAGAGACTCCATGGATTTCCTTTTCTTATCATGCTTGCAAGAGTCTAATCATGTTCGTTATTTTCCACTAATGTTAAGAATTCAATATGAATACTAAATATTTCATTTCCCTGAAAATATAAACAATGCTGTGTAAAAAAAAAAAAAAAGCCATTTGATGGGCAGGGAGTGTGGCGTAGAAGAATTCTTGCCTGACACACACAGAGACCTGGGCTCTGTCTCCGCCATGTCCTCTCCCCCTAGCTATGCTACATCTCTTTGAAAATTTCTCTCACGCATACATACACGGGGAATTCTCTGGGTCACAGGACGTGACCGCCTCTCTTCACCAGCTAGTCACTGAATCTAAATTACCCAGGGATTCTTGATATAGTCTCATCAACACTCGGTTTTGTCTGGCTTTAGCTTTTTCTCAGTGAACAGAACTTCAGAACACGACGGTCTTATTGTGGCTTCAATCTGCCTTTCCCTGTACCAACGAGGCCGAGTGTCTTTCATGTCTGAACATTCGAGTGTCTGCTTCTGAAAATGCTTAGCTTCCATTAGAATGGCTCTGCTAATAGAGAATCTGTAGCTTGACTGTTCTCATGAAAGACTCCCGTGAAACCCGTTATCTGTAGGAGGCAGGGACCACTGGTGAACGCTCTTTCTCATCACACAATGGTCTAACATAAAAATCAGGGTCTCGGTGTAAAGACTGCCCCCTTGAACTAACATCGGCGATCTCTTGAGGTTAAATGAACTCAAGTCACTCCTCTTCGCTATGTCAAATGAGCGGGCCCTGCACGCGTGGAGGAGTCACCGAGGAAGCCACATGCGGCCCACGTGGGAAGACCACGAAGCATTTGGGGGACTGCACCTTCAGATCAACAAATCCTTACAGATTATAAAGAGTCATTTTTTAAGACCCTCAAAACAGATCTGACTCTCAAGGCAACCAGAGTGATCCAATCCAAAAGGCAGTCAACAATTCCACCACGAGGGGGTCCCCTGACTGATGACGACATGGGAGCACAAAGGAGGGTGGTCAGCGGGCTATTGAGACCATCCTGACTCCTCTACCTGACACACGGTGGGGCACGTTTGCAGCCAAGGTTTCTAGTCTGCCTTCCAGTGTTTGGGTGTCAGGAACTGAATATCACAACCAGGAGATGACAACACCAGGTAATCACTGCACAGGCCTCTGGGAAAAGCACCTTGGGTGCTCTGGAATGATACACCCACATTGGCTGTTATTCTGTTTCAGAAGAGAGGGCAGCCACTGACTCAAGATCACAGCTGCACCCGACTTCAATGCCTGATTGCTTTTTCTTTGTCGGTTGTGGGGCTTGAACTCCGAGCCTGGGCGCTGTCTCTCAGCTCTTCAGCTCAAGGCTGGCGCTCTACCTCTTGAGCCACAGTGCCACTTCCAGTTTTCTGGTGGTTCATGGGAGATAAGAGTCTAACGGACTTGCTGCCCTGGCTGGCTCTGAACCACAATTGTCAGATCTCAGCCTCCTGAGTAGCTAGGATGACAGGTGTGAGCCACTGGCGCCTGGCCAAAGCCTGATTTCTTAACAGCACATTGTAAGACTTAGGGGAACTCTGCAATGCGAGGCTAAAGCGATGGCTGAAGGATATTTGTCGGAAGAGGAAAGCTCTTGCTGGTCATTGGTACCAGGGAAAAAAGAAAAAAAAAAAATCTAAGAAGGTAGGAAGAGAACTCAGACCTCTAAGAAAAAAGGTAAAATGAGCAACTAAGAGGTTAGCTTAAGCCGGTGGCTCACGCCTGTCATCCTAGCAACTTAGGAGGCTGAGATCTGAGGATCGCGGTTCAAAGCCAGTCCAGGCAGGAAAGGTCATGAGACGCTTATCTTCCATGAACCACCAGAAAACCAGAAGTGGCGCTGTGGCTCAAGTGGTAGAGCGCTCGCCTTGAGCTGAAGAGCTGAGGGTCAGCGCCCAGGCCCAGAGTTCAAGCCCCATGACAAAAACAACAACAACAACAACAACAAAAATAGGTTAGCTTAGACAATGAACTCTATGGTTTCCTTTGTGTGTACACGTTAGACCTTTGCCATCAAACAGGCTAGATTTGTCATCAGCTTTAGAGATATGTAACCTTTCAGAAAAACGAATGTGTTAAGTGAGATACAGCTGATGAAATTCTTTGAAACTGCTTTTAGGCAAACAGCCGCCAGAGCTTGGCACGGGCAGGTCGGGCGGATGTGAACGGGGGAGGAAGGCACTTACCCACCGCAGGGGCATCGTACTCATCCCCGAGCAGGATTTCTGGAGCAGAGTAGGCAAGAGAGCCACAGCTTGTGGTGAGCTTCTTCCCGGGCTGAAATTTGTTGCTGAAACCGAAGTCTGTCAACTTTACAAGACCTTGTTTCTCAAAAAAGACCACGTTCTCCGGTTTTAGGTCTCTGTGGACCACGTGGAGTTTATGGCAGTAAGAAATAGCATGCACGATCTGTGCAAAGTACTTCTTGGCCAGGTCTTCGTTGAGGCCCTCCTCATGTTTCATGATGTAGTCGAACATGTCTCCTCCATCACCGAGTTCGAGAATCAGATAGAGTTTGGTCTGGGTGTCGATGACTTCGTAAAGGCGGACGATGTTGGGGTGCTGCACCAGTTTCATGCACCTCACTTCCTGGAACAGATGTCCAGTGGCGAGTGTATCCAGTTTGGTCTTGTCGATCACTTTTACCGCCACCTTTTCTCCTGTGAAGACGTGTCTCGCCAGTTTAACCACAGCAAAATGCCCTCGCCCCAGGGTTTTATCCAGATCGTACAACCCCGCAATCTTCCCGTCATAGCCGCGTTTGAATCCTGCCATGCTGCTGCAGCGGCGGAGGGAAAAATACCTAGACTGCCTGAAATGAGTCTTCTCATAGAAGAGTGTCTGGCGAAAAGAAGGAGTTCATTTTCAGTGTTGCCAAGGACATCTGTAAAAGAAGAGAAACAAAATCAACCTTCTGTTCAGTTTCCCTGTGTGTGTGTGTGTGTGTGTGTGTGTGTGTGTGTGTCTGTGTGTGTTTTGTCGGTCCGTGGGACTTGAACTCAGGGCCTGAACGCTGCCCCTGACTTTTTTGCTCAAGGCTAGCTAGAGCACTACCACTTTGAGCCACGGCCACTTCCGGTTTTTGAGTGGTTGACCAGGGGAAAGAGTCTCACGGGGACTTTTCTGCCTGGGTCAGCTTCGAACCAAGATCCTCAGATCAGCCTCCGAGTAGCCAGGATAACAGACATGAGCTGCCAGCCCTCAGTCCTTTTTGTGTTTTTAAGAGAATCTCAAGTCATAATTCAAGGTCATTTTTTAAAAAGCCTATTTTTAACATACAGAGCTTACAACATAAAGGTTGGGAATTTTAATACCATATTAACATTCTCAAACTGTCAAAGAGAAAGTTCATGGGAAGCACTTTTTGGTGATGTCAGAAATAAGTAGGCTAGTCAAATAAGTGTCAAAAAACAAGACAGGCTGGCCACCAGTGGCACACCTGTCATCCTAGCTACTCAGGAGGCTGAGATCTGAGGATTGCAGTTCAAAGCCAGCCCAGGCAGCAAAGTCTACGTTTCTCATCTTCAATGAACCGCAAAAAGCTGGAAGTGGAGCTGTGGCTCAAGTGGCAGAATGCTAGCCTTGAGCATAAAAGCTCAAAGACAGCACCCAGGCCCAGAGTTCAAGTCCCAGGACCCACAAAAAACAACAACAATGATAGCAACAACCAAAAAAAACCTCACAAGTCAACAAGAAAATTCAAATAACAGGAACTCCCCCTCCTCTCCCGTTACCCCAATAACAACAGTATTTCCCTCATGCATAAGAAAGTCTTTAGCAGAGATGTTAGCTTTCTCAGCCACAATTGGCTTCTCTTTTCTGTGTCTCTAAGTGTCTCAGGACAGGCTCTTCCCACAGGGTCTACAGGTGTTTGATTATAGCATTTTTCCATGCTGACACCGGAAGCTCCTGCGATCCATCAAGCCCAAGGCTCTACTACTTTGTCCTTCCCTCTCCCAACCCCTAAAATGATCCTGACATGGAGACAACCACCAGAACGCTTTCATTTTTGAATACAACTTTTCGTTCTTGCAGCTCTGGGGACACAAGTAGTCACTTAATAAACACCGCTAGCCCTGGCTCTTGGTGCCGACTTCTGCTCTGAAATAGAAACCACCATGACCCACTCACGTTTTAAGAGTCACCAAGCACACACTTTTTATAGAGTCTCAGAGAGAGAAGTTCATTTTCCATTAAAAATGTTTAACCTTTCGAATGGAAACTCAAGAGAAATGACTGAGGAAAACAAATGTATAAAATTATATAAATTAAAATGTCACTTTAAACCACACAAAGGCAAACTCTCACTCCCACTCTTTTTGTGGCCAGTTCTGGGGCTTGAACTCCGGCCCTGAGCTGCTTTTGTTCAAGGCTGGCGCTCTACCACTTGAGCCACAACGCCACTTTCAGCTTTTTTCTTTTTTGGTAATTTATTGGAGAGAGAGAGTCTCACGAACATTCCTGCCAAGACTGGTTTCAAACTATGATCCTCAGATCCTCCAATCTCAGCCTCCTGAGCAGCTAGGATTACAGGCGTGAGCCAACGGCATCCGGCTGAAGTATCTATTTTAACAAGGACCCTTTTTTCAGAGTCTTAAACGCTGATGAAATTGTACACCAGAAACTGGGATGTGATAATAACAGAACACAGGAAGGAAAAAAACTATCTTCTGAAACCGCCTATCCTCCCATCAAGTGTATTTTGAGTTAGACCAAAAACCAAATGAGATTTTTTTTTTTTCTTTCTTATCTTTGAGGATAGCCTAGGGCCTGAAAGGCACTCTGGACATCTGTCGTGGTTATGAATTGCGCTAGCTCTGAGACTTACCCTGTAAGCTCCACAGTGAAGAACCCTTGTTCTTACTGCCTTGTGTTAGTCGCTTCTTTGCTCTAAAAAAAAAGAGAGATTTCACTTTAGTTCCATGTGTTTTAGCTCCAAGTAAAAACACATGCCCTAAGATTCTAGACAAACACAAAACTAGTTTATAAAGCAAGTCTTTATGATGTGGTCATAAGGGGAGGGGGAAGAGGGGTCCTGGCTCTTGCTTTACTCTGGGTCTGGGCGCTGTCCCTCAGCTCTTCAGCTCAAGGCTTAGTGCTCTACTACCTGAGCCACGGCTCCACTTCCGGCTTTTTGGTAGTTCACTAGAGATAAGAGTCTTGTGAACTTCCTTGCCAGGGCTGGCTTTGAACTGAGATCCCCAGATCTCAGCCTCCTGAGGGGCTAGGATCACAGATGTGAGCCACTCCCCGGCCCCCATCCCCCGCCCCATTATTAAAAAAAAATTGTTTTTCACAGAAAGGAAGGAAGAGCGAACGAATGCAATCATGCTATTCAGAATACACAATGTGGAACATGAACTGCGTAACTTGTGGGTGGGGACGAGAAAAGGAAACTGGGGGAAAGTGAAGGAAGGGGTGGCACTGCCCAAAAAGAAATGTACTCATGGGCTGGGAAGGTGGCTCAGTGGTAGAGCGCTTGCCTTGCATGCATGAGGCCCTGGGTTCCATTCCTCAGCACCACATAAGCCAAAAAGAAAAAAGCCAGAAGTGGCGCTGTGGCTCAAGTGGTAGAGCACTTGCCTTGAGCTGAGGAGCTGAGGGACAGCGCCCAGGCCCAGAGTTTGAACCATGATCAACTTAAAAAAAAAGTACTCATGACTGACTTATGAAACAGCAACCCCTCGTACAAACCCCTTGACACTCACAACAAAATTATATTAAAACTTTATATGAAAACTTTTGCCCTTTTGTTAATTACACCTCCTGCTCCCCCAAGCCTCACCTCTTTCCCTAGGGCTGGGGATTGAACTCAGGGCCTTATGTGAACTAGGCCAGCACGACACCCCTTCCTTAGGCCTTAATCACGATTTCTTTAAGGATACCTTTCATCAACGGGAATTTCTACATAGACAAGGTTAACAAAGATGAATGGACTGAAAGGAAGAAATCCTAAGAACAAGACTACTTTCTCCTTGCCGTGGGCCTGCAAGGCAGGTAACAAGGAAGCTCTGGGCGGGTTAAGTGGCAGTTTCTCAGTCTAACCGGGCTCCACCCAACTTGAAGGCCCATCCCACTTGCAAGAGCCCCAAACAAAACACCCACAACTGCAAGGATGAGCTTTACAAGGCACTTCCCTATCAGATGACTCGCAAATGAGCCACACACAGGAACCAGCAAATGAGCCACACACAGGAACCAACCGAAGCCAAGGCCCCAGATACTACACGGGAAAGGCAGTGCCAGCCTAGGTCATCCTGAAACAGCCGTGCTTGGGAGAAAAGGAGGAGAGGAGATGATATGGTTCAGGGGAAGGGAGGGGAGGGGAGGGGAAGGGGAGGGGAGGGATAGGGAGGGGAGGGGAGGGGAGGGGAGGGGAAGGAAGGGGAGGGGAGGGACTGCTCCAGTTCCCCCCCAAAGAGAAATTCTAACTCTTTTGCTTCAAGAGAAAAAAAGTCACTGAACTAGTACTTATCTGTCATTTACCTTCTAAAAATTAAAAAAAAAAAGTCTCTTCCTTTCTGAAAATAGAGCTAATTAAAAATGCAGACTACAACTTCAGGCGCTTGTGAATTCTAGCAACTTAGGAGGCTGAGATCGGAGGATTACCGTTCAGTGCCACCCTGGGCAGGAAACTCTGGGAGACTCTTATCTCCAATAAACTATCCGAAAGAGAAAGAAGTGTTGGGAGTGGTGGCTCAAGTCGTAGAGTGCTCACCTTGAGCAAAAGCAGCTCAGGGACAGTGCCCAGGCCCAGAGTTTAAGCCCTGGGTGCGGGGGAGAGGGGGGGAGAGAGAGGGAGAGGGGAAGGAGAGGAGGAATCATGCCACAGGAATTTGATTTTTTTGGGGGGGGGCGGGGGGGGGGGTCCGGTCGTGGGGCCTGAACTCTGGGTCTGGGCACTGTCCCTCAGCTCTTCAGCTCAAGGCTAGCGCTCTACCACTTGAGCCACAGCGCCACTTCTGGCTTTTTCTGCTTATGTGGTGCTGAGGGATGGAACCCAGGGCCTCATGCATGCAAGGCAAGCGCTCTACCACTGAGCCACCTTCCCAGCCCCCCAGCCCAGGAATTTGAAACAATGTCTTTAGTTGCCCACTGAAGTTTGATAATGTCTCAAAAATCTCAAAGAATTAGTTTAAACTAAGCTAATTTTCTGTTTTATTTTGTCTGGGACAGGGTTTTGCGGACCTGTCCAGGCTGGTCTCAACCTTGCTAGCCTTTTTACTCCCTTCCTGAATGCTGGGATCACAGGGATCAGAGGCCTGTGTCACAAGGCCCAGCTCTTGTAGAAAGTCCGCCAAAGCACAGAATGGGAAATATGAAAAATAAAGAGGCATCCACAGTCCCAGCGCTCACGCTCAGCACTGTGAACATCCTGGTGGTCACCTGCAAGTATTGATAAGCAGCTTCTTTTGTTTTGTTTTGCAAGGCTCTGAGCATTTTAGACCTAACTTTATAGTCCCTTTTGTCATTCAACATAAATACTTTCTTAGGTTCTATTATTTTTATTACAATTATTAAGAGAAATCATCTCGTCCTCTGGGATAATATCTGTTAACATCCGATACAGAGCTTTTCAAATTGCTTTGCCATACTATATGCCCAGACACAATTATAAATAATAAGCTGGGATAATAATACACAGGAAAAGGAGGAGCGATGTGGGGGTGGGGGGGGAGAGATGACCATCGATGACCTCTTTCACATTAATTCTTTATAAAACCAAGATGCTAGCCAGGCACTGGTGGCTCACGCCTGTCATCCTAGCTACTCAGGAGGCTGAGATCTGAGGATCATCGCAGTTCAAAGCCAGCCCCGGCAGGAAAGTCTGTGAAGCTCTTATCTCCAGTGAACCACCAGAAAACTGGAAGTGAAGCTGTGGCTCAAAGTGGTAGAGCACTAGCTTTAAGCAAAACAGAGCTCAGAGACAGGGTCCAGGTCACAAGTTCAAGCCCAAATGACAACACACACACACACACACACACACACCAAACAATATCAGATACTGTCCTTAACTGTTTTTTCCCCAAACTTTATATAATCCACATTTCCTCATGCACACAATTCTTCCCAACCAGCACTGTTAAGAATCACACAGCTCCAAGTGTATCTCACTAGCCACACCGGAGCATGCCGCCTGCAAGCAGCCCTCATCTCCCACACATGCGCGCGCGCACACACACACACACACACACACACAGAACTAGTCTGGAGCTACAGAAAGGCCAGCTGAGCCACGAGCGTGCATGCTATGGAAATTCATGTCTGAGAAACCGGGGCTGGTCCGAGTTGCGAGAATACACATCCTGCCGTTCTCCCAGGCAGAGAGAGCGCACAAGCCACTCGTGTGGGTGTGGCTGGAGGAGAGGAAGGAAGTGTGGGTGGCCTTACACACTCTGTACAAGCTGCTGCAAACAGTTGTAGAACCAGCCCTGGTAAGCCTGTCAATTTGGAATTCATTGTTAATCTTGCTAAAACTCACTCAGCTTTTTGGTGCCATCTGCCCCACTGCTGGGGAGTTGGTATTATCAAACAAATGTCTCCTACTCATCCCTCCTCCCCAGAAGGGGTAAAGACACGTGGGGGGAAGGCCCAGGACCAATCCAGGGCGTGACTAAGTAAAGGCTGCATGCAAAATGAATAAATAAATATATACATACAAAATGAGGCGACTTACACAACTTCTGTACATTCTGTCTGGAGTATTATAAAAACTTTCCCCCCAAATAAGACCACCAATATTACAATACCCAAACTAAACCATGCAAAAAAAAAATTAAATGAATTTTTTGTAAAATTCTGCATCGATACATCAATGCTCTATGAACTGCATCCCACATTCCACTGATACACAGACGTCAGCCAGAAGCTGAAGTTGGCAGAGCTACTCTGAAACTGTATTTAGGGGACTTACACACGGAAATTATCTGATATCTGTTACGATGCCAAAATATGAAAGCTGACTTAAGCGGTGGAAGTAACTCTCAATGAATATTACCAACCTGATCCTCCTACTACGAGTTGAACCTGTAGTCAAAATAAATGGAGGCTGGGTGCTGGTGGCTCATGCCTGTCATCCTAGCGACTCAGGAGGAGCTCTGAGGATTGAGATTCAAAGCCAGCCGGGGCAGGAAAGTCTGTGAGAGTCTTATCTCCAATGGACCACCAGAAAACCGAAGTGGTGCTATGGCTCAAGTGGTAGAGTGCTCATCTTGAGCTGAAGAGCTGAGGGACAGCACCCAGGCCCAGAGTTCAAGCCCCACGACCCCCAAAAAATAAGGTAAATGGAAGACAGTGAACTAAACCCTCCAGGGATTACCAGACACCTCTGGGTCAAGCAAAACACAGCTCTCATGGAGCTACCCCCATTCTCTTTATCCAAAGTAAACACGCTCTACTTTTTTACCATAGCCTGTTTCCCTTCTCCTGGAAACGAACAATGTACGCTCTAAATCGAAGAGTAAGAAACAGCACACTCGGGTCAATAGGCCATGCGTGTTTCACTGGGCTGGATGGCAGTTCCTGTGTGGTTATCATGTAGTAGGATGGTCTCAAGAAGGCATCGCTCATAATCCTGATGCACCACGCCGTACCTCCAGATCTCTAGGAAGCTATTTCCCCAAGAAAGGTAGCTGTCTCCCCAAACATAGTCTTCTCAGAAGTTTCCTTCCTCGTAGTCGATCTTAATGGGCTGCGAACCACAGAGGAGACCAGCAATGTCACGCTAAGAAACGCCCTCCTGTCTCTCAAGCAGTGACCGAGTTGTCGATCCAGATCAATCCGTGAAGTGCTGGCTTCAGTAATCCTGATTTCCTCTAAGAAAATCAAGATGGAGTTCAGGAGTACTTGGAGGAAGTTGAAAGGTATTTAGGAATCCGGATGTAGAGTAC